TTTCAACTCTCAATCAATCTCTTTAATATGGTGAATTTTAAAACGATCGTAACTTTGGGTTTGAATATCAGATTGACGCAAAAAAAAATTTGATTCTCCGTATTTTTTCGAGAGCTATTTGTAAAAACTCATCCCCTTTATTTGATTTTACTATTATTATTTTTTCTTAATATATTTCTACTGATATAGAATAGTTAGAAGATTTTTTTCGGATAATCGGCTCGATTTGCGTAGATATCGAAAAAATACTCAAATAAAAAAAAATGCTTGAAACGGACATCCGAATAGTTAGAAGACGTTTTTTTGGATAATCGGCTCGATTTGCGTAGATATCGAAAAAATACGTAGATTAAAAAAAAACCACTTGAAACGGACATCTGAGGCCAAAGTTATGACCGTTTGAAATTTTATTTTCAACTCTCAATCAATCTCTTTTAATATGGTGAATTTTAAAATGATCGTAACTTTGGGCTCGAATATTAGATTGACGCAACTTTTGTTTTGATTCTCCGTATTTTTTCGAGATCTATTTGTAAAACTCATCCCCATTATTTGATTTTCTCATTTTTTTTCTTAATATATTTCTACTGATATATAATAGTTAAAAGACGTTTTTCAGAAAATCGGCTTGATTAAACCGCCTTTAGAAAGTTTGGTTACGTAGATATCCAAAAAATACGCAGATTCAAAAAAAAATCGCATGAAAAAGACTTCTGAGGCCAAAGTTATGACCATTTGAAATTTTATTTTCAATTCTCAATCAATCTCTTTAATATGGTGAATTTTTTAAGTGATCGTAACTTTGAGCTCGAATATCAGATTGACGCAAATTTTTTTTGATTATTCTTATTTTTTCGAAATCTATTTGTATAACTCATCCTCTTTATTTGATTTTCTCATTTTTTTTATTTCATATATTTCTACTGATATAGAATAGTTAAAAGACGTTTTTTTGGAAAATCGGCTCGATCAAACCTTCTTTAGGCAGTTTGGTTGCGTAGATATCAAAAAATTACGCAGATTAAAAAAAAATCGCTTGAAACGGACATCCGAGGCCAAAGTTATGGCCGTTTGAAAATTTATTTTCAACTCTGAGTCAATCTCTTTAGTATGGTGAATTTTTCAAATGATCGTAGATTTGGGCTCGAATATCAGATTGACGCAATTTTTGTTTTGATTCTTCGTATTTTTTTAACATCTATTTGTAAAACTCATCCCCTTTATTTGATTTTATTATGATTATTTTTTCTTAATATATTTCTACTGATATAGAATAGTTAAAAGACGTTTTTTCGGAAAATCAGCTCGATTTGCGTAGATATCGAAAAAATACGCAAATTAAAAAAAACGATTGAAACAGACATCCGAGGCCAAAGTTATAACCGTTTGAAATTTTATTTTCAATTCTCAATCAATCTCTTTAATATGGTTAATTTTCAAATGATCGTAACTTTGGGCTCGAATATCATATTGACGCAAAATTTTTTTATTTTTCGTATTTTTTCGAGATCTATTTGTGAAACTCATCCCCTTTTTTTTTCTTTCTTAATATATTTCTACTGATATAGAATAGTTAAAAAATGATTTTTGGAAAATCTGCTAGATCAAACCGCCTTTAGGCAATTTGGTTGCGTAGATATCAAAAAATTACGCAGATTAAAAAAAAATCGCTTGAAATGGACATCCGAAGCCAAAGTTATGGTCGTTTGAAATTTTATTTTCAACCCTGAGTCAATCTCTTTAATATGGTGAATTTTTAAATGATCATAGATTTGGGCTCGAATATCAGATTGACACAATTTTTGTTTTGATTCTTCGTATTTTTTCGACATCTATTTGTAAAACTCATCCCCTTTATTTGATTTTTGACATCTAATTGTAAAACTCATCCCCATTATTTGATTTTCTCATTATTTTTTCTTAATGTATTTCTACTGATATATAATAGTTAAAAGACGTTTTTTCTGAAAATCGGCTCGATCAAACCTTCTTTAGGCAGTTTATTAGCGTAGATATCTGAAAAATACGTAGATTAAAAAAAAATCGCTTGAAACGGACATCCGAGGCCAAAGTTATGGCCGTTTGAAATTTTATTTTCAACTCTCAATCAATCTCTTTAATATGGTGAATTTTAAAATGATCGTAACTTTGGGTTCGAATATCAGATTGACGCAAAAAAAAATTTGATTCTTCGTATTTTTTTGAGATCTATTTGTAAAACTCATCCCCTTTATTTGATTTTCTCATTTTTTTTCTAAATATATTTCTACTGATATTGAATAGTTAAAAGACGATTTCCCAAAAATCGGCTCGATCAAAACGCCTTTAGGCAGTTTGGTTGCATAGATATCGAAAAAATACGCAGATTCAAAAAAATAATTGCTTGAAACTAGCATCCGAGGCCAAAGTTATGGCCGTTTGAAATTTTATTTTCAACTCTCAATCAATCTCTTTAATATGGTGAATTTTAAAATGATCGTAACTTTGGGTTCGAATATCAGATTGACGCAAAAAAAAATTGATTCTCAGTATTTTTTCGAGATCTATTTGTAAAAACTCATCCCCTTTATTTGATTTTACTATTATAATTTTTTCTTAATATATTTATACTGATATAGAATAGTTAGAAGACGTTTTTTTGGATAATCGGCTCGATTTGCGTAGATATCGAAAAAATACGTAGATTAAAAAAAAACCACTTGAAACGGACATCTGAGGCCAAAGTTATGACCGTTTGAAATTTTATTTTCAACTCTCAATCAATCTCTTTAATATGGTGAATTTTAAAATGATCGTAACTTTGGGCTCGAATATTAGATTGACGCAACTTTTGTTTTGATTCTCCGTATTTTTTCGAGATCTATTTGTAAAACTCATCCCCATTATTTGATTTTCTCATTTTTTTTCTTAATATATTTCTACTGATATATAATAGTTAGAAGACGTTTTTCAGAAATTCGGCTTGATCAAACCGCCTTTAGGAAGTTTGGTTACGTAGATATCCAAAAAATACGCAGATTCAAAAAAAATCGCATGAAAAAGACTTCCGAGGCCAAAGTTATGGCCATTTGAAATTTTATTTTCAATTCTCAATCAATCTCTTTAATATGGTGAAGTTTTTAAATGATCGTAACTTTGGGCTCGAATATCAGATTGATGCAATTTTTATTTTGATTATTCTTATTTTTTCGAAATCTATTTGTATAACTCATCCCCTTTATTTGATTTTCTCATTTTTTTTATTTCATATATTTCTACTGATATAGAATAGTTAAAAGACGTTTTTTTGGAAAATCGGCTCGATCAAACCTCCTTTCGGCAGTTTGGTTGCGTAGATATCAAAAAAATACGCAGATTAAAAAAAAAATCGCTTGAAACGGACATCCGAGGCCAAAGTAATGGCCGTTTGAAATTTTATTTTCAACTCTCAATTAATCTCTTTAATATGGTGAATTTTCAAATGATCGTAACTTTGGGTTCGAATATCATATTGACGCAATTTTTTTTTTGATTCTCCGTATTTTTTCGAGATCTATTTGTAAAACTCATGCCTTTATTTTATTTTCTCATTTTTTTTTCTTAATATATTTCTACTGATATAGATTAGTTAGAAGATGTTTTTCGGAAAATCGGCTCGATCAAACCGCAGATTTAAAAAGAATACGCTTGAAACGGACATTCGAGGCCAAAGTTATAACCGTTTTAAATTTTCTCATTTTTTTTTCTTAATAAATTCTATTGATATAGAATAGTTAAAAAATGATTTTCGGAAAATTTGCCCGATCAAATCGCCTTTAGGCAGTTTGGTTGCGTAGATATCAAAAAAATTACGCAGATTAAAAAAAAAATTCGCTTGAAAACGGACATCCGAGGCCAAAGTTATGGCCGTTTGAAATTTTATTTTCAACTCTGAGTCAATCTCTTTAATATGGTGAATTTTTCAAATGATAGTAGATTTGGGCTCGAATATCATATTGACGCAATTTTTGTTTTGATTCTTCGTATTTTTTTGACATCTATTTGTAAAACTCATCCCCTTTATTTGATTTTATTATGATTATTTTTTCTTAATATATTTCTACTGATATAAAATAGTTAAAAGACATTTTTTCTGAAAATCGGCTCAATTTGCGTAGATATCGAAATAATACGCAGATTAAAAAAAAATGATTGAAACGGACATCCGAGGCCAAAGTTATGGCCGTTTGAAATTTTATTTTCAACAAGACGTTTTTCAGCAAATCGACTCTATCAAACCGCCTTTAGGCAGTTTGGTTGCGTAGATATCGAAATAATACGCAGATTAAAAAAAAATGATTGAAACGGACATCCGAGGCCAAAGTTATGGCCGTTTGAAATTTTATTTTCAATTCTCAATCAATCTCTTTAATATGGTGAATTTTAAAATGATTGTAACTTTGGGTTCAAATATCAGATTGACGCAAAAAAAATTTGATTCTCCGTATTTTTTTGAGATCTATTTGTAAAACTCATCCCCTTTATTTGATTTTCACATTTTTTTAAAAATATATTTCTACTGATATTTGATACGCTCAAATTACACCTCCTTACAGAAGTATAAGCGATCGTTATCAAGTAAAGAACCCAACTTGTTGTAAATAGACAAAGGCATGAGGTTGATGCTAGCCCCAAGATCACACAATGCCTTAGCAAAGTGTAGCAGCCCTATAGTACATGGAATCGTGAAAGCACCAGGGTCTTCCTTTTTCTGCACATGAGATCTTGTAGCAATAGCGCTACAATGCTGCAATCTATCATCATCTTCAAAACTCACAGATCTTTTCTTTGTCACCATATCTTTCATGAACTTCGCATACCCAGGCATTTAATTAATTTTTTTTGCATAATGTTAAACTCAATTGCCCCAATAAACTATGATAATATTTATAGCATATCTCAGAATACAAAAAAAATAATAATCTTGACATAATTGGGCTCCGGACTTAGCAAATGTGGGCTTATCATCTCAAATGAGGGAACCTGTGAGAAACCAAAAATAAATAAAAAAAAGAATATTGGGAAATTCCCCCAAAACAAAAGAGGGGACGATGTATGGATCACCGTGAGGATGGGTTTATCCAGTTTGTAGGGTGAAGGCCAAACTTTCTCATTTAGGTGAACCCCTAGCGATAGAACAGTAGTTGTGGAAGGGCGATGCTGAAGAAATCCTAGGAGTGCTGGATTCCAAATCCAAGGAGGACGAAAATTTATAGGCTGACCAGTTGCATATAGCAAACACAGAGAATGTGCACTGCGATTTGGCCTTCACCATTAGTGTCAGAACTTTGGAAAGAGAAGATGGATCGAGGAGGAAACGGATGGTCGTTGTCTTCGTGTACTTACGGGTATACCCTGGCGGTCATAGTGATCATACTGACATGTCATTTGCTGAACTCTCGCCTTCCATTTGCCTTGTCTTTCCTATCCGTCGTCTTCGGATTTAGAGAACGATCTGCTGCGAATCCACATGCCCAATCCAATGGTCATCCTGATGTCGCTCCCTCTACTCCTTCTGATGTAAGGTATTTTTTCTTCTAATATAGGTAGGTTTGTGCACAACTGTAGAAGCTCCATAGTAGCCTGTACCATGTCATTTTCGGAATAAATTTTATGTTCATTGGTAAGTATTATATCAGAAATTCATCACCAACCTCATTAATATTTAATTAAGATATTTCATGAAGAATCTTAAATAGTCAAAAGAGTAGTAGAAGCAAAATTCTAGAACCTCTAGAATGAAGTAGTTGAGAAATATCTCACTAGGTCCTTCCATAACAAAATAACAGATTTGACATGTATGTGTAATCAAGTAAAAGATGAGTGCTCATCAACCAAGAAGTGAGTTATCAAGTGAGAAATAAAATAGTGCAAGTGTGCAACAAAGAGAGTTGCCAAAATGTGAGTACAAAAATTGGGGGTAAGAATTGTAAGATTGAAGCTCGTTCTTTCCTTGCAATAATAAATTCAAATTGTGAGCAACCAATTGTGCTCAAATAAAAAGAGGATTGAGAGTGAGATTATAAGAAAGAAGAGTTGATCTTTTTGACGGGTGGTTGCACTTTCCCAGGTCGAACGACTATCAATCGTGGCCTAGTGAGAAAAGGCTTGAGAGAGGGAGAAAAGGCTCGAGAGAGGAGAGACAACCATTTGATGCTTGACAATGGAAAAAAGTACTATATGCTTTATGTTTCCTATGCAACTACTACAACTAATAAGCAATGCATGATGATATGTGATACATGCTTTGACTTCTAAGGCTTGATAGGCCATTTTGGTCGATTTCTAGTTGATTGCCTCAACCTATCGATTGAGTGAGTTGGAGAAGAAAGTCTTAGGCTACGTCTCTATAGGTTTCACATCTTATTTTCTTGCGTTTCTACTCTTTACTTATGTGCAAAGTGCCTAAGCAGTTCAAGCTATTATATTTTGAGCCTACTCTCCATTTCCACCGTTGATGCAATAGAAACTGTTAATGCAATATCTAGAGGTGAAGACATTCCCACTACTATAATTGGAGTTGATGATACTAGTGATGATAGAGTAAGAGCTCTTGCTAGAATAACCAGTGCTAGTTACTTGATTGTTGGAGGAGAAATCACTGTTAGAAATGTTCACGTAGAATCTCCTTTTCCATCCGCAGGTATAGACTTCTTTGGATCTTATCAACTTCAGAGGTTAATCAATAGGAAAATCCCCTTCTTTTTTATCATCCTCTCAAAAATTCTTTTTGATGGGCATCTTCTACTAAAAAGAATCTTACTCAATTCAATAGAAATTAACTTCTACCCCACTGTTTTTCTTTTCAAACTAAATTGTTGGGACGTGCTTTTTGTAGGGATTCAAGCTTGCGAAATGCTTTATCATTCTTACTGAAGAGTAAAGCTTAATTGACTTTTGATACAGGTGCGAAGCAAGTCTATGCGGAAAGGATAGGAAAAAGCTCTATACAATTTGCGAGTTGTTAGTGGAATACGAGTAAGGACTTTGTTTGCCCAAGTCCCTTGCTTGAAGGACTATCGCACTTTCAGTGGTAGTGAGAATATTCCTACACTTCCCTGTACTTCTCTTAAGTGACATCAAAATACTCTTTCAGCCAATTTGAAAGCAGTAATAGATAAGATTGAATAAAAAAGAAGGTTCACTCCTTAGAAAAGAAGGTTCACTCCTTACTTTGGGAGATTGGGGAGTTGAGATTTTTTTGCTCTTACGTTCGCTGTAAGGCCATTAAGATCAGAAAGAAGGAGATTGAATTCTTCCTTTTATTGAGACTAACTCTAATTGTGATTTTACTCTATTATGATACCTCCCTCTGTCGCAATAGAAATTGAGAATGGAGGTGATTTCGCTACATTTGTTTATAGTTGGAAATTCGAACTCGATGGTCTTTTTTTTTGAACTTGGTAACTTGTATTATATCACAAAACAATACATAGGTTGTATTGAAACCTTATATACAAATGTACTCCCAATTTCACTTCTCTACGACTAGATTGAGTCTAGGACATCAATAATGGAGATAGTGTAATTTGAGTATAACTGGTTACACCAAAAAACTAGAAAAAGAATGCAGTTAAGCTAACTTTTTGCACACTGTTCACTAAGCTCTCAAAACATCTTGAATTCCTCTCTTTCCAGATAGTCCACCATATAGCACTAGGGATAATTCTCCATCGCCTTTTGTCTTTTGCATGGACCCCTTCTCCCTCCCAGCTCATTAAGGCCCTAGTCACTTCCCTAGGCATGGTCCAGGGAATGCCTTTCAGGCTGATAAAAATTCTCCATAATTGTCGGGTGAACCTGCAATGTAAAAATAGATGGTTGACAGTCTCATTTGTTTCACCACATAGGAAACATCTGGAGCACAAGGTTATCCCCCTCTTCATGACATTGTCCTGAGTAAGGACTACTTTCTTAGCCATTAACCAAACAAAGCATGAAACTTTGTGAGGTATCCTACTCTTCCAAATTTGTTTCCAAGGACATTTTGTACCTTGCTGGTTTGTTTGGTCCATCATCTTGTAGGCTTTGTTGACTTTGAACTCTCCCCTGCCATCACCTGTCCACCATAGAACATCCTCACATGTCTGCAAACCATTGAAAGTGTCCACCAAGTTGAAAAATTCAGCAACTCTCATGATCTCCCAGTCATTCAGATGTCTTCTGAAAATGAAATTTCATCATTGTGGGGACCATATCTCTATTATGGTACTTTGTTGGGACAAAACTAGGTTGTAAATGTCTGGGAAAAGTATTTCCATGTTACCACTCTCATGCCAGTTATCTTTCAAAAATCTGGTCTTCCATCCAAAACTTTTATCTTTGAGTTGTTTTTAACTTCATTCCACAGACTCCTGATGGACCTCCAAAGGCTAACTCCATAAAGAGTGGTCACTTCTCTAGTAATCTAGTTGTCCTCTTCCTCATATTTGGCTCCAATCACCTTTCTCCACAACAACTGGTTATTATTTGCATACTTCCATAACCATTTCATACTTAGGGCCTTGCTTTGGATTTGTAGATTCTTTATCCCCATCCCTCCATTCTTTTTTCCAGTCAACACCTCCTTTCATTTTACCAAGTGAAAGCTTTTTTTCTCCTTGTTACCCTTCCACAAGAATTTTCTCCTGATGCTATCCAACCTCTTGATGACCCCTCCTGGAATAGGAAAGAGGGACATCATATACGTTGGTAAGGCATCAAGTACTGAGTTGATTAGGGTCAGTCTACCATCCATGGATAAATATTGTGTCTTCCACTTGGCTAGTTTCTTCTCACATTTCTCAATAACAATGTTCCATATTTCTATGGATTTAGAATTGGCTCCTTAAGGCATTCCCAAGTAAGTAGTTGGTAGTGCTCCTATTTCACCTCCCAAGATTGAAACTAACCCTCTCATATTGTTCACCTCATTAATAGGGTACATCACACTCTTTCTCCAGTTAATTTTTATCCCAGATATACCTTCAAACAGGACTAGAATCACTCTTAGGTATTTAAGTTGTTCCTCCTCAGCATCACAAAATATCAAAGTGTCATCTGCATATTGTAAGTGTGTTAACTTCCAAGCTCTCAGTATCTTCTCTAGCCACCTCAAAACCCCTTAACCACCCTCTCATGTTTGCTGTTTTTATCATGTTATTTAAGCCTTCCATAGTGATCAGGAACAAAAAAAGGGACAAGGGATCACCTTGTCTGAGTCCTCTTTGTGTTTGGAAGAATCCTACAGGATTACCATTGATGAGAATTGAGAAGCTAACTGTTGAGATACAATATTTCACCCAATTCAACCACTTTTGCCCAAAACCCATCATTTCCAGCATCTTCACTAGGTACTTCCAGTTAACATGATCATAAGCTTTTTCTATATCCAACTTACATAGTACCCCAGGTTTCTTTTGTTTATTTCTTGAATCTATAGCTTCATTTGCAATCAAAACTGCATCCATTATCTGCCTCCCTTTAATAAATGTCATTTGTTGTGAGTCTATCAACTTGTCTACCACCCTTTTCAGTCTCTCAGTCAAGACTTTAGAGATCAGTTTGTATATACTGCCAATTAGGCTAATTGGCCTAAAATCTCTTAACTCCTTGGCACCTTTCTTCTTGGGTATAAAGGCTATGAATGTTGCATTAAAGCTCTTCTCAAATACTTCTTGCTCATAGAAGTTTTGGAAAGTGTCCATGATGTCTTGCTTAACCACATCCCAACATGTAATGAAGAACCCCATAGTAAAGCCATCTGGACCTGCTGCTTTATAACTGCACATAACTTTAAACACCTTAGAACTTCACTTTCTTCAAAATTACTCTGAAGCATCTGTTTTTCTTCTTCTGTTATAACTGGGCATTGTACATTTTGATACCTGGGTCTCCACTGAGTAGTTTCCTTTTATAGCCTAGTGTAGTAATCAACAATCTCCTCACTAATTAAGTTTGGCTCTTGAGTCACTTCTCTTTGTATTACAAGCTAGTCAATGTTGTTATATCTTCTGTGTGCATTTGCAGTCTTGTGAAAGAACTTAGTATTCTTATCACCTTCTTTCAGCCAAAGAGCCCTAGATTTTTGCCTTCAGGATATTTCCTCCTTCTTAATCAACTCTTCATACTTCAACAGCAACTCATCTTTTAATGCAGATTCTTCAATAGTGAGAGTTCTGCCCTTCCTGTCAGCATCTAAGTTAGCCATCTGTTCCAACAGTTTCTTCCTCTAAATGGTCAAGTTTCCCTCTTCCCCTTTCCTCCATTCTTTGAGTTTGCTCTTCAAAGCTCTTAGTTTGCATGCCAATATATAGTCAGGTCTTCCAGTGAAGTTGAAAGATGACCACCACTCCCTAATTGTATCAATGAAACCCTCAGCTTTCAACCACCAATTTTCAAATTTGAAATAGCCTTTGTTCCTTTCCCAAGAACCCCCAAGTAAAGCTATTGGTATATGATAGAGTTCAGCCTTTGGAGAGGAATCTGTTTTAGATTTTGAAACTTGTCATCCCAGTCCTTGGAAATTAGTATTCTGTCAATCCTGGAGGCTGCTTCATGTTGATCCCCTTTGAACCAGGTGTATGTACTATCCTCTAGTTGTAGATCAACTAGTTTCATGTCTTTAATAAAGTCTGAGAATTCCTTCATCCCCTTTGTTCTGCTCATATAATTCTTCTTCTCAGATATGTATCTAACTGCATTGAAATCCCCACAAACTTCCCACGGCCCTTCCACCAAACCTCTTACAGCACCCACTTCTTCCCACACTAATTTTCTTTCCTTGTAACAATTGGGAGCATACACTCCTGTAATGTGACATTTGAAGTCTTCTGTTTGAGACTCAAATTTACAGGTGATAGAGTATGCCCCTATTTCTAGAATTTCTCCCTTCCAAGCACTCTCATCCCACATCATTAAAATCCCCCCTCTTGTTCCGTTGGACTCTAGGTATGCTTGTCTGATCCATCTGCCTCCCCAGACCTGTTTGGCTACCTCTATAACATTGCCTTCTAGTTTTGTTTCTTGAAGACATATGATGTCTGCCTTCCACCCCCATATCATACTATTCACCAATCTTCTCTTGTCTCTATCATTTAGTCCCCTAACATTCCAAGAGACTAGCTTTATCTTCATCCGCAACTAGTACTTGCATTCCCTCCCATTTCCTCTGTTCTTGAGCTTTTGAACTTGACGTCAAAGCATATCAAATTCTTTAAAATTCTTGCACTCCCTTAGTCTTTGACTTTTTGATTTCACTGCACTGTTCTTGTCTTCTTGCCAGCCTACAACTATCTATTTGTAGCAATAGTTCCATGGCCTCCTCCTCGTGGCCTTGAAAATCAACCCCGAAGATTTTCCCCAATTTAATTAGGTTTTGTTGTACCCAATTCGAGGTTTCTTTTTCCTTCCCCTGCATTATGAACTGTTGTTGTTGTGACATAATAGGCTCTGCTTCATCAATTTCCCAGTTGAGATACTATCTCTGTAATAGGATTTTGTAATATTACCCTATTGTTATCATGATCAATCTCAGCTATTGCTTGATTGCTTTCCACCTGTTTATCAGTGTCTTCAACCTCCACGAAGTCTCTCTATCCCCATTATCTCTGCGGATTTTCCCACTATCCTTGAGAATGTTGGACTGTTCTCGCCAAGTACGACTCTTTGTGCTCTTATTTCCTCAACGCAATCGAAAAATCTCTGGGTTGTTAACAAGCCTTCTATTTCCCCTTGATAGTTGTTAACAATAACTTGGGCCGCCACATCTGGGCCTATGCACCAAGCCTGTGAATTATTTGGCCCAGACTTATAACACTCCTTTGAGATTTCCTTTAAATGACTCACATACCCCTCATTTAAATGGCTCACGTGCCCTTCATGAGATGACATTGTGACTTTATTTGCAGGGGCCACGTGTTGCAGTGTTGAAAAGTCCCTAAGTTGATGGGATTCGCTATCAACATCACAGATCCTCTCCCCTAAAACCCTTTGGTTAAATCGCTGGACTGGGCAAAAGGTGTCATCTTTCCCCTTATCGTTTTCCAGCATAATTTCAAATCTTGGCGAACATTCCGGCCAGATTTGAAAGTAGAATTTTATGTCGTTCCACGACACAACCACCTCTTTCGGGATTTTTCTACCATCGTTTGCAACCTGGATCCTCGCCCACTTCATACGATTTTTCAGCTTTGTTTCCTCCTCCGTAGCCACCCAACCTCCACAGATCTCGCCTATCTCTTGGAAGACCTTCTTTGACCATAGGTGTAGGGGATCCCCACTGCTCTGATCCATGTTTCTTTAATAGAAGCAGACTTAGAAATACAGTCGGTTGTTGGTGTCCACCATTCGAGATGAAGGTTGCACGTCTTCCATCTCTACTGGCCCTGTATAATCTGCTCTGCCATGTTTTTGTTTGGAAACTCAAACAGAAATCTCTCATCATTCAACTCGTATATGTTCATTCCGAAGACGTTCTTCCAGTTGGAAGATGACCATCTTCTTAAATCTGCTAGAGTTGGCCTCGCTGTAGGCTTCTCACTACAAAACCTACTAGACATCTAGATAAAAGGTCGCCTTCCTGTGCTTCTATTTTATCTAGGATTTCTACAGTGCCCCTCATATTTTTTATCTCTGCATTGCGTAAATTCCTAGATTGCCATTTACTATCTTGAATAGGAGTAGCGTAGGGGTAATCCAAGACCACCCTAGTGCTAGGTATTTTCACCTTTACCTGCTAACATTTAATGAATCTGTCAATCTTCAAAGCAATGTCCAACCACCCAGCATTCAATGCCAACTCTGGTATTATAATTCCAGACCTTCCCCATCTATATAATGTTATGATGTTTATGAACCTCCCATGTATATTATGCTTTCTTGTGCAGTAGTGCTCTGACTCATGCTCAGCCATTCTCCATCATCTTGTCTCCTTCTTTTTCTCCTTGGATGCTTCTCTTAAGCATTGGCAGATCCATTCTGTCACCTTCCTACTCATAGAAAATCTGTGCATCATCTTTTTGCTTCTCTCTACCCATTCGTACCATTCGCCTTTGTCATTATCCCATCTGGTGATATCGAAAGACTTAAAACCTACGTTGAAATAGATTCGATTTTCCTCCATTCTATCAGAGAGTGGTTTATCAATAATCACAGTGGGTGATTATTGTTGGCTTGAAAAAAAAGGGTTGATTCCGGTGGGAGTAACCGAAAAAGCTGGGCTTCTCTCTCCTAGGAAGTAGGAGAGAGAAAGGGTATTGGGAATACTATTGACTTTGCTCCAGATGAAATAGAAGCCATTTTTTGGCATCCCTTCTCCAGATGTCTTATTCCTTGCCTTAGTAATGTGCAATCAACTACTTGGCACCTTCCCTTATTCTCTTTCCTTTACTTTTATATCTCGGGGCATAATCGTCATTTGAGTTGTCTTTTTTTTGTACACTTTAAACTTCCTCGGATGGATCCTCTATGTTCTTGTTGTTTAGTGTGAGTAAGGCGGGTTCTGGGTGTTGCTTTCGAGTGGTCTAACGAATCCTTAGTCTATTGGCCTTGACCGACTCAATGGTTGATTGTAGTCCTCTCTACGCTTGCCACTTGTTGAGTCAAATGGTTTTTGCTTCTTGTATGTTCTTACAAGTACAACTATGACACCTGGCCGGTGAACAATTCAAGTTGGATTGCAAACTATATAAATTTTCTAAAGAATAATTAGACTTGGGCATCACTTAAGTAGCATAGCTACTCTTTTGCCTATGAAGATCAGCTAAGAGCATCTTCTAGTTCTAATAGGCCTAGAACAAAGGATGATTTCTAAATGAGTCCAAGGACTCAATGAATGTTGGAACTTTTGCTTGCATTGTATTATTTGGTCTATGTACCTGAATTGATAACATTCGAGATTATGCAGACTCATACAAAATTTTCCTTTGAACTGTTTGAAAGTTGTCCATTTTTGCCTATGAAGATTAGCTAAGAGCATCTTCTGGTTCTAATAGGCCTAGAACAAAGGATGATTTCTAAACGAGTCCAAGGACTCTATGAATGTTGGAACTTTTGCTTGCATTGTATTATTTGATCGATGTACCAGAATTGATAACATTTGAGATTATACAGACGCGTACAAAATTTTCTTTTGAACCATTTGAAAGTTGTGCTTTTTTGCCTATAAAGATCAGCTAAGAGCTTCTTGTAGTTCTAATAGGCCTAGAACAAAGGATGATTTCTAAACGTGTCCAAGGACTCTATGAATGTTAGAACTTTGCTTGTATTGTATTATTTGGTCTATGTACCAGAATTAATAACATTCGAGATTATGCAGACTCATACAAAATTTTCCTTTGAACCGTTTGAAAGTTGTCCATTAAGTCATGAGAGTATGAATGGTTTCTTTTTCATTTTCAAGAAGAAAGAAGAAACCAAAATCTTGGGCTATTGATTTGGCAGAACGAAGGATGATTTCTTTCTGCCATTTGTCTTTTCCTTCTAGCTAAAACTCAGATAGATTACTTACTCTTGAGAAAGGGTAATAGAGGCCTTTGTAAAGATGGTAAGATTATCCCAAGTGAGAATCTTACTACCCGACATAAGCTTTTGGTGATGGACTTGGATTGACGAGCAAGTAGGAAAAAGATTAATTTTTGACTAAGTAATCAATGAGGTAGCTTGACCCCTGCCCTCTCTCCGTAAATGAGAGAGAAGTTGATGACGATGGGGGCTTGGAGGAGTTCTGGAGATGTGTACAACATGGGGGATAAGACAACTAGTTGCATTAGGGAAGCAACTAGAGAGGTACTATAGGTGTTGAGGGGTAACTTTGGTGGTCGGGAGGGGGGGGGGTTGGTGGTGGAATGGAGAAGCTCAAGGCTAAGTGGAAGCAAAACGATTGCTTATGCAAAGTTGGTAAAATGAAGGACGAGGAGGAAATACAGACGCATAAGGAAATCTATAAGGCAACGAAAACGGAGGCTAAGTTAGTGGTTAAAGTAGTAAAGACGACAATTTTCAAACAACTATATGCTGAACTAGGAGACAGAGGCTGAGATAAGAAACTGTAAAGGCTCGCGAAGGTGAGAGAGAAGGCCCGAGACCTAAATCAAGTGAAGTGTATCAAGGATGAAGAAGACATGGTGTTGGTAGAAGAGATCCTTATTAAACAAAGATGACAAACTTACTTCTACAAACTATTGAACGAAGAAGGGAATAGAGACATTCTGTTAGGTGATTTGGAGCACTCTGAGAGATATTGAGATTTTGGGTACTGTGGGTGTATTAGGGTTGAGGAGGTTAAGCGCGCTTATAGTAGTTAGTGCAGGGGAAGAGCGACCAGACTATATGAGAGTCCGATGGAGTTTTGGAAAAACATAGACATGAGTAGACAAGTATGATGTGGTTAAATAGTTTGTTTAATGTCAATTATTAAGATAACAAAAATGCCCGAGGAGTGGAGGTGGAGGTGGAGTACAATGGTTCTGTTGTACAAGAACAAGAGTGATATCCAAATTGTAACAATTACATGGGTATCAAGTTGCTCGGCCAAACTAAAAAAGTTTGGGAAAGAATCGAGCAGATGAGGGTAGGCGAGATGTGTCAATTTTTGAGAACCAATTTGTATTCTTGCCGAGGCTATCGACTACAAAAGCCATCCATCTTGTGAGGAGACTGGTGAAGAAATATTGGGAAAGGAAGAGTGACTTACGTGTGGTATTCATTGATTTTGAAAAGGCTTACGACAAAGTCCTGGAGAGAAGTCATTTGGAGATGCTTGGAAGCAGAGGTGTACCAGTGGCTTACATTAGGGCGATAAAGGATGTGTATGATGGAGCCAAAACTCAGGTTAGAACGATGAGAAGAGACTTGGAGCACTTCCCAGTTGAGCTGGGGTTGCACCAAGGATCAGTTCAGGTTGCAGGGTTCATGGTTATGAAAATAATTTGTATTATCCTTTTGAGGAAATAAAGATTTCTTTCAACTAAATATTTAGCATTTTATTTTTTTTGTTTATTGTCAGGTGTACCCAGGCTCTTCGAACTTGAAATAGATGATTAGATGTCTCGTCTTGAAGAGCGACATATTGGTAGGACTCCTTGTGAGTTGGGCTCACTATTGCAGTATATGAAGAATTTCCATGCTCTAGTAGTAGATATGGTTCTCCTATGTGAGCCTTGTCTTCAGTTGCTTTTAACTTGCAAATGTGGCTGTATTTGTTAGTCCCTAAGCATCCTAATATCTCATTTATTATTCTCAGGATCACTACAGTGATATCTGATCTAGATCTGAAGAATTTGATTGATGTCGTAAATAAGAAATTTCAAGCTAATGAGAAATGGGAAGATGTCATTAACCGGAGAACAGATCGTTTTTCCTACTGTGCACAGTGTTGTAAACTGAAGGTGCTTGCTCAGATTATCTCTTTATGTACTGTGTTTTTAATATTATAGCGGTCTCTGCTTTTATCTCTTAGGGACTTGCTGAATTGCCTATTTTCTCAAAATTCAGAATAGCATATTTATGCCTCATGTCTGAAGCTATCAATAAGCTGGGCTTGTAAAGAAACAGAAGAAGTGTGTCCATTAGGTGAACTATTAATCACAAAAGTGACTTCTTTCACCTTTTGTTAATGTACTTATCTACCTTTGAAGCTCTTAAAAGAAAATGGAGTAACCAACTGTAGGCAGTGCTCCCATTGATACTTATAAAGGATCTAAAGTGACTGAATGGGGTCAAAGAACAGAATACAAAACTTGCAAGCCTGTATGAGCATGCATTTTCATAAGCACGAGCACTTGTATCTACAGCTGTGCAATAAATGATTCTTGGTTTCACCTTCTGTTTAATGCTATTTTATTATGCGAAGTGATACAAAGTATCTGGATTGCCTTATTTTAAATGTATTTATTTAGTAATTCTTATCGTTGTCTAACTTATCGAAAAAAGTTACTACTATCTGTATCAGTACTGAGGTGATGATACCCATGTTTGATCTCTTCTGTTCTGCAGGATGCGCCTCTTAAATATCTAAGTGTCACTGTATTTGAAAATTGCTCTGTTGAGATGATAAGAGATTTTTACATGGACAATGATTTCCGGAAAATTTGGGACAAAACCTTGATTGAGCATAAGCAGTTGCAGGTGGATTCAAGCAGTGGAACTGAAATTGGACTCATGATAAAAAAGTTTCCATTATTGACTCCCAGAGAGTACATATTAGCGTGGAGAGTGTGGGAAGGCAGTGATGGATCCTTCTACTGTTTTACCAAGGTAGTACTTAATAAAGTTTGACATTGAGTGGACATCAAGCTCTCATAGAACTGACTCTCCCAACTTAACTCTAGAGAGATATCTTTCTCAATGGTGCAATGTCTTCTGTTAAATAAATATTGCAGTTAGAACTTGTTTAGAATTCTTTCAATTGGATGATACCCCCCACCCCACCCTCACCCCACCACCCCCACAAACCTAAAAAAGTAAAAGAGATAAGAAGGAGGAAGCGTTTGGTGTTCTCACATAAGTTTTCATCATTCATGTGTCCCAACTCATAATTGTATCTATTCTTGTTTCAATTTTTCCTGTTACATATCTTAGTTTATGTATGCTAAGTTTTGGCGTTTTACTGCTAGTAGGAATGTGAATATCCTTTGGCACAAAGAAGGAAGAAGTATGTCAGGGTTAGGCTCTTTAGATCTGGTTGGAGAATCAAGAAAGGTAGGTTTTTGATTTGTTCCTTGTTATTTTTTTTCCTTGTGTGAGAAAAACTGATTTAAGCATCTCATGACAGCATATACATAGTTGGAATCATGACTCATTTTGTGATTTTTTTTGTAATTCTATCAGGTTTCTAGGAATAAAAGTAAAATATTATGGTTTTCTGTAGTACTTTTAGGAATCTAGGATGGTGCAGTACTGAGTTGTTTCATTGTGAATTTTCCTTCAGTTTCTGGTAGGAATGCCTGTGAGATCCAAATGGTACACCAAGAAGATGCTGGTCTTAACGTTGAAATGGCAAAATTAGCCTTTGCAAAAGGCATATGGAGCTATGTTTGTAAAATGGATGATGCACTTCGCCAATACTCAGCCGTTGACCACCATCCTCAATTGACTTCAGGTGTGAGTGCCGTCACGTTAATTCAAAAGGTGGGAGCTATGCTTCTTTTAAAGTTCTTAATTGTGGGACTTTCATTATTCTTTTTGTTAGGAAATGGAAAGTTAAGTAAAATGGATGACAAAAGACAAATCTGGCAGTGACCGTAACAGAAACATTTTCCTTATCGAAGTCATTTTTCTCCCTTTTTACTTCAATGGCCTCCCTCCCTCCTAAAATGATAAGAAAGTACAAGGATAACGTGCTGCTACTATTGCCTACGTGGATTAATTAGCCTTCCCAATATGAGTAGAATAATGTATAACGTGCTGCTTGACAAAATTTTTTGATCTTCCCTTTCCTAACCCCTTTCCCACCCTCTTCAAATGAAGGTTCCACTTGGGTTAGACACCTTGGACCACACAAGGGGCTTAATCAATCCAGAAATCTGCACGAGTAGTGACTATTGCGGTGGAGTGTCACGTGAATGCAATGCTAGGGAACAAAGAAAAGAGCCATCAAACAATCTGGTGCCAAATATGCTAATGCTCCTGGGTGGTGCAATCTGCATGTCTAGAGGGCTCTCTAACTTGGGATCAAAGGTTGCCATGGCATGTATCCTGAGTAAGCTTGTGAAACTCAATGGTATGAGAAGCAAAAACTTACAGAGATTTAGCCAGATAGAGGTTCAGACACGTGTACAATGCGATGATAAGTGAAGATGAGCTTCAGTGCGGCTACTCAAGTGTAACCTCTTGAGTAGGAATGCAGCTGTGCATATTTATGTGGTTTCAAGAAACATATGTTACTTAATATTTTATTTTTTAAAATTTCTCCAATTACCCCTTTCGCTATTGATACATGAATGTGGATTGGACGATTCTCTCGCTCTAATCTTCTTTGTTATCGGAAGCTTTTAAGCCAGTGTCATTCAATTATAAGTGTTTTGTCATATTATTGGATGATTAACTAGCGTGATATTGCTCTATTATGCTAAAATTATAATGTTGGATTTAATATAAAATATATTTTTAGTATCATAAATGTATACATTGTGTGTGAATTTTAATTCTTTTACTAACATTTGTGAGTGGTAGCTATGACCAAGTGATATTGTAATATAAAAAGAAGAGCAAAATATGAAATTGGTGCATTCGATGTGGCGGTTTTCACCAAGATGCCTTATGCAAAGTTCATGAGGAGCTTGCTGATAAAGCTTAAAAATATCCTTGGCTATGCTCATATGCATATTAGAGATGATTTACAATTCTGGTTCATCGATCATTATAGACTTTAGCTTCTTGAAGAAGGAGGTCCAAGATGCATCACACACTTTGTTCACCACATAAATGCAATTAGATAATATGATTTTCTGTATCCTACTACACAACAATAAACAATAAGACACCCTCATATTTACCATATAAAAGTGTGTCATCAACGACCATAATCTTTTTCATGTGGAAATATCCCCGAATGCAAGATTCATAGTATAAGAAATTGTCATCATCCTCATGAACCATAATGATATTCGTGGGATGAGCATTTAGTTGGTTAGCATAATCATGTTCTTAGATATTACATCTCCCATCCAATACTTTCAATAGCTTGGATTGCAATGCAGCTCCCTTTAAATAGTCCTTTCGATTTTCTTTGTGCTTGGCCCATTGCTGTCAATAAATCAAGGGCGGATTTTTTAAGTATACAAATTAACTATTGTATTTACACCAACATAGCAATACTTTATTTTTCAATTATATAGCAATACTTTTTTTTTCAAAAGTAGAATTTAAATTTAAAAAAAAAAGATTTTCCAAATCAGCCATGCTTATCCCACTTCCCATAAATTTCTCCAATAATTTTACCTTCCCTAATTTATTCAAATATGCTATATATTATCTCCCATAAATAAAGGTTTCCTACCAAAAACATAACTCCTTTCTCTGACTTAAAAAATCGGCCAAACAAAAAACGATTATTGAAAAAAATGCATACCAATAATTTCTCAATTCTAATTCAACACAACGGGCGATGGGACTCAGCAGGTAATTATATAAAAAATAGTTCTTATGATTTTTTATTTTGTGATTGAATTTGATTTTACACAAATATCTATTTTGTACTTTTTGGTAGTTATTCGTTTTATATATTTTGTCAATTTTGGTGTAAATTAATTCATACAATTTGGTTGACATTCGGGAACGTCCAAATTTTGGTGTAATTTCAACAATTTCGTATGATTTTGTTGTACACTGATGTGTAAAATTTGTTTTTTGTTAAAGTTTATGTTTAATTGGTATGATGTGTTCCGTATGGTAGCAAATATTTTATATCAATAAGTTTTCAGTATGTATTTCTGTATTTTTTAGGTATTAGATCTGGTATAATTGTCACTAATAGATGACAGCAAACAAATAGCCTGATGCATGATTTGGTGTATTATTTGGTCAAATTATGGTATCTTACTTATGAACGTATATTAAAGTGAGTGTAGTTATAAATAATTTGGTGTAATTGGTGGTGTCAATAACTACAAGTTTGACAATCTATGGTATATAGTTAGAACCTCGTAATAAAGTTATGTTACATATTTTAGTGAATTTTAAGTACGTGAATTGGTGTAAATAATAATGTGCAAAATAGTTCATACATTTACTGATGGTAACCTAATAAAATCATAAATTTTAAATATTGTTTTAAGGGTATGTAAACTTTGACTGTTTTTTTACTTTTATTATTTGGTTAAAAAATTGATAAATACTTTGGTATTTGTTTGACTGTTTTTAAAATAATTATATGGTTAATTTTTTGGTAAGATTTTGGTATTTGTTTGACTGTTTTTTAAGATAATTAAATGGTTAAATTTATGGTAAAAAAATTTGGTATTTGCATGACTGTTATTTTAAGATACTTAAATGGTTAAATTTTTGGTAAATTATTTGGTATTTCAATAAAAAGCTTATATACCAACGAAACTCAATGTATGAACAATGAATTTGTTATTTTAAACAGGAAATTACGTGGATTACAATATTGAAGGAGTTATGTATGATCCAACCACCAAATACGAAGGCTTGCTTACAGCTATAGCTTCACAATTGGGAGTGGACACAACAATTTATCATTTGGAACTAAGGTATTTCGTGAGTGGTCCATCTCCACCAATGAAGATACATAACGATACGGGAGTGCAAGTTTATTTAGATCAAAAGAGATGCAATCCAGATTTCTTTTCAAAATATCCTTTATGTGTGACATGTGTGGACAAAGCTATGGAATCCATTGAGTACCAAACAAATGTCCAAACAACGCGTCAACCAATTGTGGGATCCAACACACTATGTTTGACTAACATGGATCCAATTTTGGAATGTTACATTGAAGAATCACAAGGAACGGAAATAATTTCAAATCCTCAACACTATTTGGTGGTCGAGGACCAAGTTTATATAAACAAGCAAACTATATCGGAAGTTATGAAGCGATATGCATTTCTAAGAGAGTTTTGTTTCATTGCAAAAAGATCAAGTCCTACCTGGTGAGTTATTATATATGTAAATCTTAAAAACTATCAATATATTTTAACAACTTACCATGTATTAATATGCATGAGTTTTTGCAGTTACTATCTAAAGTGTGCTACAGAAAACTGTTCATGGGTTTTTAAATCCTCATGTTTGAATAATTCAAAGTTATTCAAAGTAAGGAAATTCTATGATACACATTCTTGTCCATTGAAGGACCGGATTCAATCAAAGCGACAATCAACAAGTGGTGTGCTTGGGGCAATGTTGGTTGAAAAGTATGTCGATCTGAAGACCGTTTACACACCAACAGACATACAAGCAGACATGCTAAGGATACATGGTATTTCATTAACATACATGCAAGCATGGAGAGGTAAAAAAAAAGCTTTCGAGACATTAAGAGGTGACCCTGCCGAATCATATGGAAAAATTCCAACATATCTATATATATTGGAGAAAACATATCCAGGGACAAATGAAAATCATTTTTTATATTCATTTACAGCACTTGATGCAAGTATAAGAGGCTGGGAGTATTGTCGACCAATAGTAGTCGTGGATGGTACACATTTAAAATCAACATACGAAGGCACAATGTTGATAGCTAGCACATTAGATCCAGGAGGTACTGTTTATACCATTACCGCAACTAGATTGATTTGTTTTTATATATAATCAATATATGTTGTATTTATTTTGAAGATATTTGTTGTATAGGTCACATCTTGCCGCTTGCATACATAATAGTTGATTCAGAAAATGATGATTCATGGTTATGGTTCTTTGAGAATTTTAAAAATGCATTCGGTGAAAGGGAAGATATGTGCTTTGTTTCTGATAGAAATAAGAGCATTTGGAATGCTACTACAGCTGTTTATCCCGAATTCAGACATTACGCATGCATATACCATCTATGGACCAATTTACTAAAGAAAACATACAGAGATACAGAAGAGGTTAGAACATTATTCTTCAGTTTAGCAAAAGCTTACACTGTTCAAGAGTTTGATGAATTGATGACAAGGATGGATCAAATTAATCCAAAATACCGTGCTTATCTACAAAAAGCAAATTATGAGAAATGGTCACGCGCACATTCACCAGTAAAAAGGACTTGGACACTAACAAGTAACATTGCAGAGTCACTAAATAACGCTATTCTTGTTGGAAGAAGGTTACCAGTGGTACCATTGTTGGAATTTGTTAGAAAAACAATTGAAGCTTGGAATGAGAAACACAACGAAGAAGGTAGAAATACTACAACAACCTTGACAAGTAAATACAATGAAATGTTGGAGGACAATAGAAATTTGTCTCATCGTATGCTTGTAAGTATTAACAATTATCTACTATGCATAGTATGTTTTGGTTTTATTATTTATAATGCATGCTCTTAAATGAAGGTAC